CTTGCTGGGCTTTGGAAGGCCTCAGTTTGAGACAGGGCCACCTTCCATACTCTGACGAATGCAACAGGAGCTTATAAGCATTACAGCATCCACATACAGACACAAAAATGTGTGGGACAGAAATAGATGACTGCTTTTCTATAAGTATGCAAAAGTTTTTTGCTGTGTATGTATAGAATATGTACATGTTCATGGACTTATGCATTTGTGCACATGCATGTGGACACTAGAGGTGGACGTCAAGTATCTTTTTCTGTTGTGGTACACCTGAGTTTTTGAGATGGTTCTCTCCGAATCTGGTGCCCTCTGACCCCTGTGTACCCCTCCTTGCTCTCTTTCAAATTCATGGCCTCTTTTTCCATTAATTGATGTGTATATACATATACATATACATCATATACAATCCTAAATACAACCTGCTCAGTCTGTATACTCTCTCTTGTATGTATGTTTTCAGGGTGGAGCATTTGGTATTACATAACCAACGGATGCCCTTCCCTGGGGAAGACTATTTCTCCTGCTCTCAGCCTTCCTTAGCCCTTAGTTGCCTGTTCTGTGCACAGTGTTGAGACTTCACAGGCTTTTCCCAGTCGCTTTGGCTTGTCTGCTGGTGTCACCCTTGTTCAGGCAGTCACGTTGGTGAGAATTTTTTGTGGCCTGCTGTTGACTATTCCACGTGTATTTTTTATTGCTAGGTTATGAAATAATTTGGTCCATATAAAAACTGATTTAAAAAAATAGTTAATTATACAGGGCCTGGGGAGATAGCTTAGTCACTGAGGAACTTGCCATTTAAACATGAGGACCTGATTCAGATCCTCAACACTGATTTAAAAAAAAAATGCCAGGTACTGTGGCAAGCATCTGCAGTTCCAGCACTGGAAAGGCCTGGAGCTCGCTGCTGGCTAGTCTACGTGAATCTGAGAGCTCCGGGTTCAGTGAGAGACTCTGTTTCAAAAAAAAAAATACTGTGAAAAGCAATTGAGGAAGGCACCTTATATTGGCCTGGCCTCTACAAGAACATACATGCATTCATGCACACAAACATATGCATACACATTCATTCACACATTCACAGAAAGTTCTTCATACAAAAAACATACTGAGGGAAGGAGAGGGTCAGGATTTAAGGATGGTTTCAATTTTTCTGGGGGACTCAATTTCTGTTCCCAGCACCTATGTTAGGTGGCCCATAACCACCTGTAACTCCAGCTCCTAAATATATGTGGCATACACACACACACACACACACACACACACACACACACACACACACACACACACACATTTAAAATAAAGACATGTGTACCATATGGGTTCAGCTATTCCTTCTGTGCATTTACTGTGTTGAACTGAGGCCATTGAGGGCTTTATACTTACAGCTTTGCTTTCTTTCAATTTCTCTCCTGTTTCCCAAAGTCTCTACTTTATTAGAGTTGGCCATTATGAAATGCACAGATACTAAAAAGTGTATCTTCATTTGGCATTTTAAAGTGTCCCCTTGTTTCCAATGTCTGGTCATATATTTGTCACTCCAAACAATTCTTATGTTTTGACTGAATGAAGAAGTAGAAGCTCTCAGTGAGGACAGCTGACATCTCTTGGAAATCTGTTCCTGGCATTTTTCTTTGGTGTCCTTAATTCTTTTGGCCAAAAAACAAAAAAACAAAACAAAACAAAACAAAAACAAGTGACATAGACTGCTGCCTTCTTTTTATTTTTCTTAGTGTGTTTTTTCTTCAGACCAGTACATTGGCATTTATGTTGCAGGACATGTGGATCCACAAGATGTTGAATTGGGGATGCTTGGGGCTCCTTACCTTCTTTGTTTGAGGGTTTTTGGACAACATATAGGTGGTCATTATCTTTTTTAGAGAGATTAGAAAATTTTATAGATTCTGCTAGCTCTTTTGGGTCCCAATAATAGAGGGACAGTGGTATCTGCCAGGCCAGGAATATTCTCCCTCTTTGCTCAGATTGGCATCCACGATGCATCCCCAAACAGATTTAACTTCTTCTCTCTGGTTCTCCTTGGTCTATAAAAAGAATGTCCCTTACTCAACAGCAGGAGCACTCTGCTGTGGGTCAACACATCTTACTTCACGGGAAGACCTTGCTTGTCATTTTCATCACTGATTTGGACTACATAACCCTTCCACTCACCACCCAGAGCATCAGCAGCTACTTCTGTGGACATACATTTCTTTTAGAAAGTTTAAAGTTTGCATTTATCATCCACTTCAGTGAGTTTCTGACATCCAGTGGCTGGGAAGGAGATATTCAGCTTCATTTTGATACACCTGAGTCTAGGAGGTATCATGAAAACGGGGCCAGAGTGCTCTTCTTGGCCCTTCTTGTCCTTTCTTGTTTTATGACCTAATCTGAGATCAAGATCTTGACCTCTGCTTTTAAAATTTTTGTTTGAATCTTTATTTCCCTGATAATTATTAACTCACCCATTTAAAAGATTATTTTCTAAGTCCCTTCCTCTCCTTAACTCTTGTTCTCTCTTTATTTCTTTTATCAGATAAATCTAATATAAAAAATTGTTCTTTCAATAGCGAGACAAGCCCTTTACATCATTATAAATTGTATCAGACACTTTTCCTTTCATATTATTTTGTTTCATGCTTAAAGAAACATGTGGTATACATAAGTTACATTGTTCTCTGTGTTTCTGTTTTATTTACCTTATTTCTGAACTGGTTTTTTTTTTGGTGTTGCACAATGTTCACCCATTTGTTCTATCATCATTGTTGCAGTGTATCATTATATATTACACATTCCTTATCCCCCCTTCATTCATTCTCTAATCTAAATAATAGGATTTTCTAGAACTTCATAATTATTTTCATATACTCCTCCTTTTCCCCTTCTCACTGTCTAATTTGAAGTAAAGATTTTTTATTTCCAGTTTTCCCTTGTAAGCATGTACTTACATGAGACAACCAGATCCCTAACTGCTTTCCATAGGCTTTCTCTTTCTGTGAGCTGGTTATATTTACGTGTTCAGAGCATATAACATTAAATGCTGTTCTATCACCTCGTCCACATCCTTTTGTCTTAGTTCTGCAGTTAGATGTATTTAAACATGCATTATTAGATTGTATGCCAAATGTTTCTGCAATTTCGGCTTTGTGTCTGTGTTCATTCTACAGGAAGAACTCATGGCAGTGACATTCCCTGGGTCCTTCAAATTCCTTGCTATCTATCTTCAGCCTTTATACTCAAAGTTCTATGTGGGTGGATAGGAAATCTATTTGTCTTCACAAAGACCAGCCCTGCCTTCCCCACATACTTACACTTGGCCTTGGTGAGGGTTTTTTGTTTCGTGTTCATTTTTTATTTCTACTGTCACAAATAAACATAAACTTTACAACTTAAATCTACAGAATTTTTATTCCTACAGTCCTGGAGACCAGAAATCTACAGTGAAGGTGCTAGAAGGCTTGCATTCCTTCTGAGGGGGAATAGGGGAATTCCTTTTCTAGCTTTGAGATTGACTTACACCCCTTGCCCCTTGACCAAAGCTCTAGCTGTTGGTTCCACCACATCTCTCACTAACCTTTGACCTCCTTGTTTCACACTTATAAGGACCTTTGTGTTTATATTGAACTCACCCAGATAGGCAAGAATCAGCCCCCACCTCAGTGTCCTGCAAAGCCCCTTTGGAGGTATAAGGAGATACATTCACAGGTTTCTAGGACTGGCAGAGGTACATCTTTGGAGGTATGGAGGTTTTCAGTCTACTAGATTTTTGTTTTATTCTTAGAAATTTTCACAAACCAACAATGCAGTGAAAAAATAGGCTTTCTTCATACTTGTTATGGGAGATCTTTTAGACTCTCCATTCTGTACTATAAGTATCCACCCACTAAGTTTATAAACATCAGTCACAAGCTTCATCCCAAGAGTGAAACTCTTACCTTCCTGGGCTAGACAGATGGTTCAGTGGTTAGGATCGCTTACTGCTCTTGCAGAAGACCAGGTTAGATTCCCAGCACCCCCATGGTAGCTCACAACTACATGTAGTTTCTGGGAGATCTAATGCCTACTTCTGACTTCTGAAGGCTCTTGTATGATGCGTATGCATATACTCAGGCACATACATATACCAATAAAAACAAAACAAAAAAACCCTGCCTTCTTGGTGATTCTCAAAGTAAAGAAGAGCTGAGAGTTTCTACCCTATGTCTTGTTGATACCCACTGAGTGAGGCAATAGGAAGGATAAATGTTGACACAGAGGTAGGGGGTGAAACTCGGGTCCTCTCACTCCTGGCTAAGCCCTTGGTAATGCATACCTTCTTCCCTTCCCAGAATAGTCCCTGAAGGTCTTCCTGTATTTATTAGTAACCTCAAGGCACTGTCCTCTGTGACCTTGAGTGGAAATAGAGTCTTAACGTTCTAGAATTAGAGGAAATGAATGACAGTAATTTTACCCATGTATATATCTTAGTGGTCCTTTGAAGGGTGTCACAGAAAGCATCTTGTGGAAGAAGGCTCATCTCTGCAAAGTATAAAATGTGCTTTCTCCTCTATTCAGCTATTTCTAAGTCTCAGAATTACGTTTTCTCAATCAACTCAGTGTTCTTTGAGTGATGAGACTGTGCTCAAGTCAACATCAGAACTGTAGAGCCCACAGTTGGTCACGTCAGTAGAAATTATTGAATAGAACATGGAGGTCAGAGCTTAAGCTTTTATTGGTTCATGTGGGTGGACAGATAGCAGAGATAAAGCAGCTCTGAAAACCCCTGCAAGGTAAGGGGAATTCAGTGCAAAGAGAGGACCTCTTCCGTGTCTTCCTATTTCTGAGAGTGTCCGCACAGCAAAACAGGCAAGAGATGTGAGTTTAGACAAGAAGACACCTTGTAGAAATGATCACTGCGAAAGAAGCAATTGAGAAGCATCATGGCTTTCCTTCAATGTTCCAGGGCAGGGCAGGGTAGGCTAACCTCACTCCAGCTGTCTTTTGGTATTGGGCACTGGAGTCAGGAAAAGTCATGGCCGGTCTGTCTTCAAGTAGGAATATAGTCCCTTGGCTGTGATTCCTTTCTTCTCCTCCATCTGTGCTGTATCCTGGCCCTGGGCTGAAGGAACACGAGGGTGCGGGCTACCTGGATTCTGGCTTTGGATCACTATTTCCCTTGTGTGGTCATTGACCCACTCATCTCTGATCACGGTGGGTACACTCTCTCTCTGCCCTCCCTTTGGACTTGGGTGATTGCTGCTACAGTCTTGTCTTTCTTCTACAGTACTTGTCTGAGTCTGGACCTGGCCTCCTAGTCCTGGCTCTCCTGTCTCACAGTTGCTTACTGGTGTCCAGCCTTGCCCCATACCTGACGGTATCTGGGTTTGTCTCTTTTCTGGAGCCCCTATCTGACCTGCAGCCTGGCTCCTATCGTGCTCCAAGGTCTGAGAATATGATCCTACCTGTGTCTGGAAGTGTCCCGTCCCTACCTGTCCTGCACGACTACTGTCTTGCCCATGGATCTCAGTCCTTCTGTTTTGGTCATAGATGGCCCCATGTGTCTGGATGCTACTATTTCCTGCCTGCTGACTCCTGCCTCGTTCCACCGTCTGGGTGTGTGTCTGAGTGTATGGCTCTGCCTGTGCCTGGTGCTGTTCTTTAGCAGCCTGGCCTGCCTGGTTCCTATCTTGGCTGTGAGTCTCAGTCTCTCTGTTCTGGTCATAGATGGATTCCTGTGTCTGGATGCTGCCACTTCCTGTCTGCTGCCTCCAGCCCTCTTCTTCCCTCTGGGTGTGTGTCTGAGTATGAGACCCTGCCTGTGTCTGGTCATGTTGTGTAGCAGCTTGGCCTGCCTGGCTCCTGTCTTGGCTATGGCTGTTTGTCCCTCTGTTCTGGCCGCAGGCGGACCCCTGTGTCTGGAAAGCACCGGCTGTGGTCTCCTCCGTGTGCTGGCTAGTCTGTGACTGCCTCTCTGACCTCCTCTCTCTGCTCCAACTCTTGTCCTCAGTTCTCAGGGTCTGCTCCACTTGTCCTGTCACTTGTGTTTGCTGGCTTACCCTCTTCTGTCTCTGAGACTCAACCTCCCTGTTGTGACTGCTGACCTGTGTAGGGTAGCTTTCCTGACTCTGGGTGTGTGTCCCCACCCTGACCTGTTCTTTAGACGCCCGATCCCTCTGTCCCCAGCTGCTGTCCTCACGGCACTGCTCTGCTGCATCCCTCCCCACTCCAGGGCCACCTATCTGGCCTTGCGCCAGCTCTTTTGAGGATCCGGGATAGCAGCCTTCAGACTTGTCAGCACCCCGAGGAATCTCACTCAGTGTCTTAAAGCAGGCTCGGGCGACTTTAAAAACGAGGACCAGGAATTCCTTGAACTCCACAGTCCCTGTGTTATCTTCATCCAGCAGGCGCAGGATTTCATCCACAGTCGAGGGATCATGGGGGTTCTGGGGGAGAGATAAGGCCTGGTCAGCACTGCTCTCTCAGGGGAATCTGGCTTCTAGGCTCCCTCACCCCACTGCAGACTGGGAGCTCTCAGACCCACAACACTGCCCGCAGCATCATAGTGTAATGTTTTGTTGTTTGTGTCTTGTCGTAGCATCTCTCTTATTCATGGGTAGGCAACACCTTTGGTTTTATATATCCTCAATTTTAGATCTGCAGGATGATGGACTAGGTAAAGATGTGTTGAAGACAGAATGCATGTGCTTGTATGCAACTGTCTGGGCTCCTGGCTCCTTCCTGTGGGTGCCCTTGGCACTTTGCCCCTGGTAGCAACCTCACCAGAAGCACAGCAGAAACCCGGACCCATGGCAGGACAACAGACTGCTCTAAGCACCTAGCACCATCCTAGTGTGCCAGTCTTTGTACCTAAGGACTTCATTATTCAGTCTTCTGTAGATGTTAACCAAAGGCAGGAAGTGCATTAGGGCTCTGGCTTTGGTTTGCTGGGTGAGGTTGGTCTCTCGGAGTCCCCTGCACCTACAGCTGTTCAGAACTAGGGCTTCAAAAATCTCACTTTTGACCTGACTAGTGAGCTAATATTTCTAAGCAACTGATTTGTGCAAGGCGAGAGCAGGCTCTTAGTGGATGCTAATAAGCAATCACTTTTCAGAGCGGTGTAGGAAATGCTACTGTGTCAGATTTGAGACGTGCCAGCCCTGCTAGACCATTTGAAAGCGTCCATTCTTGCCTGCACTGTCTGTCTCCTTGGAGTCTCTTTACCTTGTCTTGAAATTAAAATTAATTTAAAGAGAGACTAAGACCCAAGGATCTGCCCTTTCTCTGAGGATCAGGATGTGCCACCCGCAGTGACCTCTTTCCCTCCATGTCTTTCGTGTCTGCCTGCACAACTGCCAACAGAGCGAGCGGGCCTGAATCTGGCTGCTTGCTCTTGACATTGCCCAGGTAAGAGCCCTTGCAAGAAAACACACTTTGGCTGTCCTTATCAAGCTCCTCCCTCTCCTCCCCACATAGCATACCACTATGACGTCAGCAAACTCATGTTCCAGGAGCCTCTTCAGCTCCCCCCGCGTGAGCACTTTGCAGCCACCCTCTGACCTGGCATAGCAGCCGAAGGCTTCGATGATCCCGTGAATGTTTTGCAGCAGCTGAGGCATCTGTGAAGCTAAGCTGGAAGATATGAAAAGTCCCTTCATGGGCACCTTAGTCAGCCCCTGCTGTTTCCTCACAGTACTCTGTGGCTTAGTCCCTTCATTGTGTCTTCAGCTATATTTTGGGTTTCTCTGTCTTCTTTCATCCTTTCCTCAAAATGCACTTTATGGTGGGAAGGAGAAACCTCCAGAACTTGGAAGGAAGTTTCTAAGTCATCATTTAATGCCAGGCTTCACCACCTACCTGATGTGAGCTGGACCAAGATGCTTCGCATTTCTGAGCCTCAGTTTATTCACTGTGAATGAAGCTGACACTTAGCACTTAACTTCAGAGAGTTGTCATAAAGACTTAGAAGATAATCCATAAAAGGCACCCTGCTGATGCCTTGTTTATGCTAAGTGGTAGCTATTAAGTATCATCATCATTATTATTATATACATATACATGTATATAATTTGTGCACATCTATAGACACTATACTGCTCACAAAGCACTTTCCTGTATAACATAGCTTATGACCCTTATTATCACTAGTATTTTCATAGGTGAGGGAAAGGGCTCAGAGGAGGTGGATCTGTGAAGGCCACACATTATTTTCTTTTAACACATATGCAATTAGTTCTTTAGAATATACCTTTGGACAGATTTTTTTTTGCCTATCTCTAGGATGATAATGTCCTACTGGGAATATCAGAAGGGAGTAAGTACACGCAGTGGTTAGCCCCTCTTTTGGCTTGAAGATCTCTAGAAGCTGCAAGGGTCCAGCCCTACCCTCTCAAGTTCCCTGGAGAAAGGATTCTCGAAGAAGGTGGGATGCACCTGTTGGGGATACTAGGGTTAGGGGTGCCTTCCTGGTGCCGAGATGCTCTGCATATGCTCTCTACCCTCAGTCCTGGAACCTGTCAGAGAGGTAAGCTTCTGTAAGAGATACGTGGTCCATCAGGTCTAAAGGGCTGGCATCCTGTGATGGATGATTCCCAGTCAAAGGAGAAAATGTTCATTTCCATTAAGCAGGCAAAGGTGAAGACGTGTGTGACTGAGTGGGCAAGAGGCATAGATGTGCTAAACAGAATACTTGGGGAGACCTGAAGGAGGAGAGGTGCCAATGATGATAAGGTTCCAGTACCAAGGGAGATGGAGGCTTGCCGCCTCTGGAAAACCAGGGAAGGGACCTTGGAGATGAAGAGGAGGATTGTGGGGGAGAGGATGGCATAGGTAGAGAAGCAAGGAGTGAGGGAAAGAAGGTGGCATGGTTCAAGAAAAAGCAAGTCAGTGTGGCTGGAGGATTGAGGAGGTCTAGACCCCAGGTGGGCTGTGACTCAGACTCTTCCCTCTGTGCGCCTTAGGGCATATAACCTCAAATATCTCCCTTAACACAGATGGAAACCTCCCACCCCTGTTTTTTTTAAACACATGACAGTCTTTCATCACTGACCTGTAAGGAGCAAAAAGAAGAAAATGTCCTTTTAGTGACAATTCAGATTCTTAGACTAAATCTACAAATTCATCTATATGAACTTAGAGTCAGGAAGGAAGTTCATATTAGCCCCTTCCTCCATAAGACAAGAAGCTTATGAGGCAAGACAAACTGATTCTGTTTCCACAGGCTCTGAGCACTGCAAAGAACCTTCCAGAACCTTAGGGGGAAAAGTTATGCTGATCCAGGAAAATGCGTGGGTGGTGGGTGGCCCCATCCATTGCTGCTTCCCACACCATCCAGTGAGAAGAGCTGCAGGCTAGAGCCAGGGAGAGGAGAAAGCTGGATTGCCTCAGAAGAACAGCGTTTCCCAAGAGCTTTGGCTGCAGCCTGCCTGAGACTCTATGGGAGCCCTTCCTACCTCTAGCTACATACGCGCTGAGTCCTGACAGCTCACATCTGACAGCCTTGGATTCATGAGCTCAGCTTGCCAAGACACCGAGAATGAGCAAGAAGTTACTCTGGAGGGAACTTACCCAATGCCCAGGCAGGATGGGACAAGTTTCTGTTAAGCAGAGTGTAGAGTACTTGTCAGTGGGATGAGAACCTTTTATAGAGGATTTAATGGCACTCATCTGTATTTTAGACAGGATGTCTCCACCCTACAAGAAGGCTTGATTCATCCAAAGCTCAGCCCAGCCCAGCCCCACCTCCTCTTTTCTCCAGCTCACCTTCTGACCCAAGGCAGCTTCCCTTTAATTACAGGCCCTTTCTACCATGGCTGAAACGGTCTCTTGCTGTGTCTGTCTTCTTAGGACTAGGAGGCCCCTTTACAATGAGTTGAGTTCAGCAGTGCTTTATACAGGCCTGAGATCCTGGGGAATACTCCTCTCCAGGAGCCTGCAAAGCCATAGAAGTCTTGTTTCTTTTATTCAAGCATTCAAGAACATACCTGTTTATTGAAGATTATTCTTTTCAAAGTGTTTTTCCCCTTTCTGACTAAGTAACTGCTGCTGTTACTTAGACATGTTCTAAGTTCTTGTTTTGGAATTGCCTAGTTTATGAGCCGCTAAAAGAGATCAGTGCATACCTGTGTGTATGTGCACATATGTATGTACACAGGCATGGAGGCTAGAGGGAAACCTCAGATGTTGTTCCTCGGGTACCTTCCACACTCCAATTTCTTTTTCTGAGGCAGTCTGCCACTGACCTGGAGATTGCCCATTTGGCTAGGCTGGCTGGCCAGCGAGCTCCAGGAATCTGCCTGTCTCCACTGCCCTGGTGCTGAGATTGCAAGTACACACCACTGTACCTAAGGTTTCTTATTCTGGATTCTAGGGTTGAACTCATGTCCTGTGGTTTTAATTTAAAGATTTTATAGACTGAGCTATCTTCACTCACCCCCCCACACCAGATGTGGTTTAAATTTTTAAAATTTATTTTACATCCGGACCACAGTTTCTCCTGCCTCCTCTCCTCCTAGCCCCTCCCCCATCTCCCCTCTGCGCCGCCGTCCCCCCCCTCCACCAATCCACTCATCCTCCTCCGTTTCTATTCAGAAAAAAGCAGGCCCCCTATAAACATGGCATATCAAGCTGCAGTATAACTAAGTACCTCCCCATGTATTAAGGTTGGGCAAGGTGACCAGTATCAGAACTAGGGTCCCAAAAGCCAATAAGAGTCAGAGACAGACCCTGCTCCCACTACTGGGCATCCCACAAGAAGAACCAAGCTACACAACTGTCACATATATGCAGAGGTCCTAGGTCGGTCCCATGCAGGCTCCCTAGCAGTCTGTTCAGAATCTGTGAGATCCTAGGTTAGTTGATTCTTTATGTTTTCTTGTGATATCCTTGGTGGTTTCAATTTTTATTCAAACAAAATAACCCCCATTTTCTGCTCTGAATAGGTAGCGTTTTACAGCTGGTGAGAGAAAAGGCTTAACATGATCATGCATGGTCTTTTTTCACCAGACAGAAGGAACCCAGTGGCCCTGTGGATGTGAGAGGCAAGGCCAAGGAAAGAATCTTTCTTCATACTGACTTGTACAAACACCTTTCCTCCACACTTCACGGCAACATCTAAGGTGAAAGCATCAGTCATTCAGTCTGGGAGAGCAGCTGAACTTTCACAGTAGTGATACCCTCCTTTGGGTTCTCTCCTGCCCTATTACATGGTCACTGTTTCTGGGCCACAAGAGGAATGTAACTGTCAACTGTGTCTGTGCATGCTCTCACACTTGTGTGCTCGCATGCACACACACACACACTAGAGGCCATTGTACACAGTTCGGCGGACTCAATATCATTTGTTAAGTGAGGTGTCTCTTCTAACGTAGTGTCATATGCATCACCTGTCAGATCACCATTGGTTAGTGGGAGAGACACCAGGGTGTTTCAAGGGTTGAGTGGCAGGTGACTTCTCACAATAAAGATCCTTGAATGGCCTCAATTTCTATCATCATAGCAGCAGCCCCAAATCCATCCTTTACTGAAAGCCTGCTCACCAGATCTTACACACACTAAGAAACACACAATGGTGAAGTGTGGGGTAGCTAGAGGGTGGCCACTTATGCTGTACCCCCAAAGTAGCAGATAGTGTTAATCAAATTTGCCTAAAAACACTCACATTTTGAAGATATTCTGAAGACTGACCAATTATTAACTCCATGATTGCAGAGTTAGAATACTACAGTGAGAGCCAAAATGACCTCAGGCTATCCTTAATACTTTTAATAGTCACTTATCCTCCACCCGTGTGTCTGAATTAACACCAACTTGACTTGTAGATTAAACTTGGAATACATTGCTGAGCTTGACCTGTCTAGCTTGTACCAACTCAGAAGATGAGGATGTCACCAGAGCACATCTGAGACTTCTAGCAGAAATTTCCCGGCCTGGCTGTCACCCAGCTGCATGATGTCCTATCAGTATGTCCAGCAAGTGTGATTTGTAACTATCTTTTGTTATGAGTCTGTAAAAGGTTCATGTAACTTGCAGGATGGAACATGTTACCCGAGGCACCCTGAATCAGTGCTATCAGGTCACAGTCACTCATTTTTCTAAGACTAAACTATTTCCCTTGGAGCAAAAGTTGTTTTATGTCAAAAGACCAAAACATTCCATAATTTTTTTTTCTTCACTTTGGAAAAAGAGTTAAACATTTCTGCAGATGACAGAGCTGTTTCCAGAAGCAGCTTGTATGAAGAGAATTTGATGGTATTTGTTGCCAACACATCCTAATTGAAAGAAAGGTGACAGAGACATGGTTCTTGGGAGGGAAACAAACAAAACAAAATAAAACAGTCAACAGTTCTGAGCCTCCATTATCCTCTCTCCAATCCTTATCTCCCCAAAGTGCCCTGTAAAGAACACCCTGGAAACCCAGTGAGTAGCTCCGAGTCAGCCCTGGAAATGCCAGTCAGGATTAGATAGATGCCTGATAACTCTGCTGACAAGAGTCTGGTGACTTAGGATATGTCACTCCCGAGTCTAATCCTTGACTGACAGATGGTGCTGGTCCTGTTGTTTCCCAGTTATGATCCAGGCAGTGCGTATAGACAGTGTCTTTAGCATCCTTAGTTTGGCC